GCTCCCGTGAGGGCCTGGAGCTGGCCTCTCCTTAGCGCCCCCCAACCTCTCCCCCTCCTCCAGGCTGCCCACGTGTCACCATAGAGGACGTTTGTGACCGCCTCTGTCCACTCTGTTCTCTGCGCACTCAGCTCCCCAGTGTTCTGCGTTTATCCCGTTTGACCCCCACCCCACCCCACCCCACTAGGAAGTGAGCTGGGGGAGACGCGGCAGGCCCTGGGTTCCCTCACGCCAGTGTTTGGAGCGCCGGTCACTGAGCACTGACCTTACTGATTCTGGAAGGGAGGGAGCGAGGTGGGTGAGCACACGTGGGAGGGTGGGGGGCTCTGACCCCACGACGCAGCCTCACCTGGTCACCCACCTTGTGGGCGATGACGGTGGCCCCATCCTCCAGTTCCAAGTCATTGAGAGGGCGGATCCGGAGCGCCACCTGTGGGCAGGACACCGCGAGGCTGCCTTCCAAGGCCCCAACGAGGGAGCCCCCGGTCCTTCCAGTGCAGAGACGCCTGCCCAACCTCCCCTCACCTCCCAAGAGCCTCCCACTCCCGGTGAAGCCTTAGAGCCTGGCCGGGCAGGAACCTCCTCACGCAGAGCCTGAGCTTGCTCAGCCGCACGACGGGGCTGAGAGGAGCCTTGTGAACGCGGTGACCCTCCCTGGTCTGAGCCGGGGCGACTGAGGCCCAGAGAGCCAAAGTAACTTGCCAGGGTCACACAGCTGCTGCGGGGTCTTACCGCTGCGCCCCGCTTCCTACCCACCCCCGAGGGACCTGACCTTCATGCGGGCTGCGGGCACGCTCAGAGCCCTGCTGCCCACCATTCTCTGCCCGCCTCACCCCCTGGTTCTAAGACAGTTCTGCAGGGCACCCTCTGGGGTGGCACTGACCCAGGCCTCCAACCTCCTTGGCCACTCAGGAGCCGTGGGCCCAGTGAGCCAGTGCAGTGCTTCTGGGCCTCTGCTGCCCGGTCTGTAATGGGGGAAGGTTCCTCCTGGCAGGAACGGTAGCTGTGGCTCCCCTGCCACCTAAACGGGGACCCGAACATGAGGGCTCTGTGACTAGCCTGCAGGTTGGCGGCAAGCCCCTGGTCCCCGCTCACCGCACTGCCTAACGGGCCTCACGTCACCCAGGACACAGGCCTGATCAGGCCCAGCTTGATGGGGTGGGGGTTGGGGTGAGGTGAGAAGCAGGGGGTCGCTAGGTCCCTGTGAGGGAGGGCTAAGCGGCCAGGGGCAGGACCCGTATGGGGACCCGGGCTGACGGCAGAGGCCTGACCTATGACATGCGGGCACTGGGGGCAGTGGGTCAGGAGGCCAGGGCAGGGAGGAGGCGGCCCAGGGACAGTCTAGGCACTCGGGGGAGGACGCTCACCATGACCTGCTGGTCCTTGGGCTCCACCTCCCCCACGGCGGGGCTGCCCCGGGCCGGCGAGGAGCCGGCAGCAGGGCGGGAGGGCATGGCTGGCCGGGGACAAGAGCTCCTGGCTCCCTGCTATCCAGCTGGAGACACCTGGCTGCAGTCAGCCCCGCCCCAGCCCTGTGACATCAGCAGGGCCCCAGGAGCCCAGCTAGTCCCGTGTCTCAGCAACTCAGGGCCGGCCCATGTGGTTCAGGTGGGGCCCTCACCTAACGCTGTGGCAACCCCGGGGTGCTCTCAGGCCTCACCTGGTCTGTAGGTGAGCCCATCAGAGACCTACCCCAGGCCTGGTGCAGAAAGCTAGTAGCTAATATTTAAATAATTTCCTCAAAATACTTCTCTCCTCAAAGGCACGTTTCTAAGTCAACCTTGCCAACGACCCACAGGTTTCTGATTAGGATGTGGTTTTAGGCCCCTTTCCCACGCTGCCTGCCCCACACCCAGGGCCCGACTCGCGTTAACCACCAGGCATGTTTACTGCTTAAACGCTGCGCTCAACTTTTCCACTGCAGTCCCCAAGGAAGTCACTGGGCTGTGACCCAAGCAGGCTGCACCTGCCAGGTCGCGCAGCCAACCGGCGTGCCAGGTGCCCAGGGCCCTGTTCCCGCCAGGGACACGGGGGCTGCTACCAGGACAGAGAACGGCTGCGGCCTTTGGCGTAAACCACGAGACTGGACCCACGGAGCTCAGGCCTGAGAAATCCAACTTAGCGATTCCAGCCACCGAGAGGGAAGGCGCCAGAGGCCCATCCACACGAGCGGGGTTGTGTCTGAAGTTGAGTGACTACGGGGTCACCGTGGCTTCGTCTGGCCCCGCAGCAGTCACTGGCCACATACGCTCGCTCACTCGCTCATCTCGGGCAGGGTTGTGCTGGTCGCGCCCATGTTCTCACCCTTGGCGTCCAGGTCAATGCTGGGCTCCAGGGCCTCTCAGCCACGTGAGCGAGGCCAGGGGAGGAGAGGGCCCCTCCCATGAAGGCCCGGCCTCTTGACCCACCAAGGACTTGCTGGAGAGCCCGCCTCCAGGCTCCGACCGGAGGGCAAGCCCCTCCCATCCTGACTGCTCTGGAGACACACCGGACACCAGGACTGCGCAGGGGGCCGGGCGCCCACCCCTATGCCCAAGCAGGACACTGGGGACGCTGCACCCCCACACCCTTGGGACGGGTCAGGAAAGTCCTCTGTGATGGGCCAGGCCTGGGGAACCCGGTCGACAGAAGACAGATCAGCACAAGTGCTTGGAAATTATTTTATTTACAAACTATGCAAAACAGTTAGAACTAGCAAATTTGTAACAGTGAAAAGTTAACTTTTCAAAAGCTCTGCTAAAAACCTGTTAATACAACAGAACCGTGTGCCTGTCCCTTCTTAAAGCCACAAAGTAGGAGAACCAGGGCTCGCACACTGCGGTTAAAAGCACAGAAGCGGACACAAGGGCCGCTGTGGCCCCAACGTGAGGGGACCCGCCAAGCTGAGAGCCACAGAGGGGAGAGCGCGGGGCGCAGGCCCACGGGGGGCCCGCCGGCCGAGCCACAGGGCGGGTGTTGGCCTGTCCTCCTCCCCACGGGTGCAGCTGGGCCTCCAACCCCAGAAGGCCCCCGCCAGCCCGGATGTGGTCCAGGTCACGGTCACAGCTGTGAACGCCAAGTGTGTCTGTTCCACGTTGCACTGCTTTCTAAACTAAGCTTCAGGGTCCAGGACAGAAAAGGGGAGGAAGAAACGGCCGTTTCACAAGGCGCCAACGGGCAGCAGGCACTGCAGGTTACAAGGGCTGGAGCTTCATGGACGTGCTCACTCCCTCCTCAGGGGACAGAGCTACACACTCAAGAGAACCACACGCTAGTGGCTTCAGTGACAACCATCAAGGTACGTCTTCACACCTGTGCAACCGAGGAAGGAAGGGATCGTCCTCATCAGGTGAACTGACAAGCAGGAGACCCCGAGGAGGGTGACGTCCCTTCCTCGCCACGTGAGCTCGCAGCGCAAGGCATGAACTGAGGGCACAGGCACCAAGTTCAAGGCCACTAACTACACTCAAAGAGAGGAGAAAGACGGCTTTTTCATACAAGTTTGCTTTTATTTCCACGTTTAGCCCACTGAGAGAATTTGTCACAACCTGAATGGCGAGGGACGTGCCATGGCGCCCCGACGCCCCGAGTGCGCGGGGCCGCAGCACTGCAGGCCTCCCTGCCGGCGTCCAGGGGCCCGGGAGGGACACCGCGTCTCGGCAGGACCACTGACCGCAGAAGGCAGGGCACAGTCTGCGGTGCGATTAAAACCCAAACAAGAGGAAACCGAGAGCAGTGCCTCTGGGCCCCGTGGACAGCAGGGGCTGAAAGGCACGGCGACGTGTGGGGGCGGCGAGCTCTGGGGCGGCCTCGGCCCCGCGCGCGAGAGCACAGGCAGGAGCTCAGGGACGTGCAGGCTTTCCGCAGAAGGACGGCCGCGGTTCCAGCACGGACACGGGGCACTGCAGCAAGGGGACAATGGTCACTCCCTGTCCTGGGTGCCGGGGCTGCGTGAGGAACAGGCACCAGCCACGTGGCCCAGGCGGGCGGTGTGGCCGGCACACAGCACACCCCGTAAAGGAGGGAGGGACCACAGATTCGCTCTGCTCTGACACCTGTGGCGGGGCCGGGAACCACCACCCCTTTCCCCACTGCGGGATGGCAGGGCCGGGCACCCCAACGCGCACAAAGCCTTGGCCCTCCTCCCCCGCACCCACGCCAGTTCTGAGGTGGCAACCTCCGGTCCTTCCGCCCTTACTGAAGCCTGAGTTCCTGCCACACCTGATGGCATTTCAGGGGCTCTCATCTCAGACCAACTAGGGACTGACCAGAAACTGACCAGAACAGCCGCTGCAGCGGCGGATGCCCCCTTTCTGCTGGACGCCCCGAGGCCTTCTCCTAGCAAAGCCTCCCCCCGCTCAGGCTCGTTCCGTCAACGGCTGGCCCTCCTCTCGCCCGCGGCCAACCTGCTGGACCGGAGGGCAGCCCCACTCCCACACCCAGGGCCTGCCCCCGACTCCACACAGCTCACGGGCAAGGATGTGGCCACCTGAAGCTGGGTCCCACTCACACAAGCTGTCTTCCCCAGAGGAGAAACACACGGGACGTGAACCGCGCCCCGCCTGAAGTCTCACCACAGTGTTGCTGGATCACTCCTGATTTCCAAGGGGAATAATTTCCTCAGTGACAAAAAACTCTATGGTCTCCTCCTCCCAGTCGTCCACGTTGCTGTCCAGCTCGTCAGTGTCCACACCTGCGGACAGGAGGCGGGCTGCACCGGGGCCACTGGGCACAGCGCGGTGGGACACGCACGCGCGCGCACACACACACACACACACACACACACACACACACAGGCCGAGAGGCCAGGGTGAACTCAGCAAGGCCCTCTGCAAGGGAAGGACTAGGGGCTTGAACCTGCAGGCAGGAGGGAGCTCTCAGTTCTAAGAGTCTTTGAGCAACACTTGATGTTTACTGAAAAGTCTGGGAAATGAGCAGATGCAAAAAGGGGGAATATTTTAACTATACACTTAAAAACTGTATCTTTGGCAAAGATATGAGTTACCCCCTCGCAACTCCAGGCGTTCGTTTCTCTGCTCCATGTAGAGCTCCTGAGCCATCTTCCGGTATTTTCGGAAATCTTCCATCATGGTCCGTCGTCTCTCCACTAATTCCTGCCAAGTCGGGGAGAAGTTACAGAACTCACACCCAACTCACCCCCACGATGCTGTTCGACCCAAGTGAAAACGAAAACAGGGCCTGCAGCCCCACCCGATGGGGCACGGAGGGACTCTCACTGGACACCACCCCACCTCCAACTCGGCCCATGCCCGCCTCCCCCATAGGGAAAGCCAGCCACCAAGAGGGCCGGGTGGGCCCCCGTGGCCTGGCGCTGGCCTTCCCTGCCGTGAGGGGACCGTGGCCTCCCTGGCACTTCCCTCGGGCCTGGGAACAAGGCTAACCTTTGACGCTTTGGATTGGCTCAAACGATCCTTCTGTTCAAAGATCTTGGAATATTTCTTCAGATCCTTTTTAATTTGCTGAAACAAAGACAAGTCACTCAGGACTTACATTCAAAGCAAGAGCCACAAACGCCACCTTCAAAGCTGCCAACGAGGGCCGACTTCCTCCACGATGAGCAGAGCAAGGCCTCCAGAGAGCTCCCAGCGTGCGCCCACCTTCCCTCCATGGGGTCCAACCTCCCCCAGCTCTGGCCTAATACCGTCGCGTATTTTGCCATAATTAGGTAAATCCCACAGACGTGCCCCTTCTAATCCCACAAGGACTGTCTATTCACCCCTGGTGTCTTTCATCCACCCTCCAGTTCGTGCAAACCCCTCAGAAGGGCACTGACGTGACCTCAGACAACCTGAAAACGCTTCCTGTCCTGAAACTACCCTCTCTGCTTGGCCCGCACTGCGCCTGCTTCCCCTCAAAAGGTCCCCCGTAAACGTTATGTTTCTGTTCCTCACTCAGCACCACCCTAAGGGTTACAGGAAAAGGCTTCTCCTTTTGGCACCTGCGGCACCCTGCCCCTACACCAGAGGACGCCAGACCTTGATCTGGTCCTGGCTCAGGAGGGAGGGGGGCCGTGGCCTCCAGAGCAGTTGGCAGAAGCGGTCCTTGCTGTTCTTCTGCAGAAGGCGGCCCTGGAAGGTCCACAGCCAGTAGGCATTGTCCACCTGGGAGAGAGCAGAGGCCACGCTGAGCTGCGCACCTGCGAGTCACGTCGGGGCTAGAGGCCCTGGGACCCTTCCTGTCGACAGAGCCAACAAAGTTACCCGCGCCACTCAACAAGTGTTTGAGAGCTGACAACCTGGCAGGCAGGCAGAGCTGCCGGCGTCTGGGAGACGGCAGCGCACAAAGCAGAGACCCTCCTTCGCCGAGCACACACCCAGCAGCACAAGCGGACAAAGGGCACCGCGGTGCGGGGCCTGACCAGGCCGTGCCTCGCGGAAGCCGGGGCAGGGCTGCTGGTGGAGCACTGCGCCCGGACAGAAATCCACCGTGTCACCCGTCAGCCCGGCTGGTGCTTCTCTTGGAGCAGGACCTCCCCGGTGAAGGGGGCAGTTGGCACAGCGTGGTCAGCGGTCTAAAAGGGCGTTAGTGTCAGGCGGGCCTCACTGAGGTGACATGTCAACATATCCCCATCTGAACGTGAAGACGGCTGCTTGACACTGCTTCCACCGATACTCAAGTCTGTGTTCCTAGATATCCACTCTTCCGCTAAACAGAATTATCCTTATTTGACCTGTAAACACGCATGAGCTGGTTCAACTGTTAACACCTCAATCAACAAAAACAGAAACGGAATATAAAAAGGGGTCCCCGGCAAACTGCACCCCCAGCGTGGGAGCATGCAGCTGGTGGACAAGGCTGAAGCCAGAGACCAGAGTGGGGTTTGAACAGACACAAATTCTGAGCCCCACCAGCGCCCCCTGGAGACCCCGGAGGAAATGGGCCCCCTCCCCAGAAAGCGCCCGCACAGACACAGCTCGTGTCCTTGCGCGGAGGTCCGGCCCAGGCTGAGACGCCCTGTCACCAGCGGACGCCACACCCGTCCCTGCGATCACAGAACCGTTTCTCCTTCTATGACACCACTCAAATCTTTCGCTCAAGTCAGAGATGACAATTTTTTCAAGAAGTTGAACAGAGGAATGGCAAACGTTTTCTTGTGTGCCAATCCATTCAGCCAGGCCTGACTGAAGGCTGACGATGGGCCAGTGGTTTCAGGTGCTGGGGACTCAGCTCAGAGCAGGAGAGACAAGGCCCTTATCCCTGAAGTGTCCCGGGCCAGCGGGAGAGGGAGACAACCGGCCGTAACAATGGCTAAGGTGCGCGCTTGTGGTCGAGCACAAAGAAAACCAGCAGCGGGGTGAGGGGACGCAGTGGCCCGGCGGAGGGGAGCCTCTGCACAGCCGACCCACGGGCTGGGGGGCCAAGTACTGATGGCGCACACCAGGAACCTCTTCGGGGAAACAACGGTGCTGGGAAAACACGTGCACATGGAACACACCCTCCCCCGCACCTGAGCCCCAGGAAGCAGCCTGGCTTAGCCGGAGGACACCAGCCGCCTGGCTGCCACCTGCAACAGCAGGCTAGGACGGCCACGCTCTAGCTCAGGAGGAGATGGGGAGGAAGTCATGTTGACTCGCCAAGAAGCCTGGTGCCCAGGTGCTCTGCTGAGGAGGATCCTGCACCACCTGGCCCCCATGGCACCAAGGCTACCAGGGTCTCCGTACCTTGTGGCTCCACCAGGACACAGAGGTGACGACATAACGCCCGGTGGGATCCCACTCCACGTCGGAGGCCATGTAGTGCTCTGCAATGTTCATGACCGTGCAGTCCGACGTGTCAACAAATGCCAAGGCACCGTTCATGCTGGGGGGACAGACGGCAGGTCAGCCCCCAGAGCCGCATCTGCACACCCAGCCCTCGTCTACAGGGGGCCCCGGGCCCCGACCACTGCCCCATCAATGACGTGGAAACAGTCAGTGATGACCTCGTGGGGGCGCCGTGAAGGAAGGCGCACAGGGCGCTGCCGCTCAGGGGAAAGGCTGTCCAGGGCCAGGCCTCCGGAGCCGACAGTGAAGCCCGGGGACAAGCAGCCCCATCGTTCCCACACATTCCACGGACCAGCAGCCGAGCAGGAGCGAGAGGACGGCCGGGTGCTCACGGCACCACAGAGGGAGGGCAGGCTCAGGGCCCGGTTACGGAAGACGTGGGCTTTACACCACGGTAACCAGACTGCCAGGGAGAGGCCTGCTCAACCACGAGGAGGACAGCACGCGGCCGTGTCTTCCAGACACGTAATGAAAACATTGGCAAGTGACTGAGTCTGCCGGTCCTGGTCCAAATCTGGGGAGCAGGATGGAGACGCCACACCAGGGTCCACAGACTTGGGGGATGCTCTGGTGGCGGAATGGTCCACCACGCCCTCGAGAAGTCAGGCTGCTGCTATGCGCAGGGGCTCCACACAGCCCACCGCCCACAGCGGGCGGCTGCGTCGGACAGACACCCACCTCCTCAGGCCAGCCAATACCACGAACTGTCCCTGGGGGCTCCAGAAGATGGTGTTGGCCTGCTGCTTGTCGAACATCTCTGAAAGGAAAGCAGTGTGGGGGTCAGCGCGTGGCAAGCCCGAAGGACTGGCAGTGGGGTCACACGCCCCCGCGGGTGTGCACGGTGACTGACCTCTGGCCGGAGCTCTACAGAGGCAGCGCACCTACCTGCTACCTGTGAGACCTAGGTCAGAAAACCCCCTCATGTTCGCAGTAAGTCACAACCCACGGCTGGGGGAGGATTCTGAAGCTGCAATACTCTCTTAAGTAACATTTTACGTCCAAAACAACGTGCCTCACGATGTGACTAGGCAGACACGCCTCTTACAGTTCCTGACAGGGACTCTCCACCAGGGCGAGGAATCCAGTTTGCAGATTCTCCAAGAGATACGTGGCCCAAAGAAGCCTAAAACTCCACTCCCGTGACTCGAACAGCTTTCTAACTCACAGAGACTATGTAAGTCCATCCCCTCTCCCCACCTGCTAACTGCTCGCTTCCTGAAGGGCTGGAGCCTGGTCCTCCCGCGGGGTCTCCTCATTCACTCACTCGGGAGGGGAGCAGGGCAGGCACAGGTGACCACAGCACACCGCGGCCTCCCCGCGGCCTGGTCCACCCCGAGGAGCCTGAGCGGGGCTGAGAGGACGTGTGGCTAAGGCAGCACCGCCCTGGCCGGGAGGGCAGGACTCTCAGACCAAGAAAGGAAGAAATAAAACTCTGTAAGCAGACACCGCTCAACAGCCTCTGCAGCCAGTGACACTCAAGTGACCCACGCTGACCCTGACCTCTGAGCGGAGCCACGGGCGCGGGGCACCCAGACGGCAGAGGCATGAGACCCCCGCTGTCTCTCCACAAGGAGAGCCCGTGGAGGTCCTTCCAGTCCTCAGCTGCCTGTATTTCCCTCTATACCCAAAGGAATCCATCACACAGGCAGCCTCGTGACTGACAGCCGACTGACACCACAATTCTACCACGAGCCCTGCCTAACTCCAGGAAGTGAAAACTCAATTCCTGCAGAGCTCTCTCAGGAAAAGCCCTTCCCAGGGCACAGGAACCTGTCAGGACAAACCACTGTGTCCGTGGTGAAGTCCTGCATGAGGTTCCAGGAGCACGGGGCGAGCACCCCTGGGCACACCTCACCCCTAACTCAGGGCGCAAGGCCACCGCCACCTCAGGCTCACAGAGAAATGCTGGAGTGCCAGCGATCGTGAGTCAGCGCCGTGTCACCCGTGGACCCGCTCTGCTCCAAGCCCATGCCTGGCACTAGGGACGCAGGGCGGGAGCATGAAACAGGCCCCGATGCATTCAGGCTAGACGAGGAACAGGTGGGCTGTCGCCATCCCAGCCTGGCGCTGCAGCCCCGGTGGGGAGGACAGGGCCCTCCAGGCGGATGGATGGATAGCAGCCCAGTGACCCCAGGGCCGCAGGACGGGGACTAGCCTGCCCGGCCCTGTCCCCTTCGTGCGGGGTGGGGAGGGGGCAGTGGGGACGAGGACGGTACGCACTGGTGAGCTCGATCTTCCCGTTGCTCTTGACGTGGTAGAAGGACGCCGATATCCGGGGGGCCTCCCCGTGCAGCACTGCGAACTTGCTCCCATTCGGCTCCCAGGCGAAGGCTATGATGGTTTCTAGGTCAGGAAAGAGGGCAGCTCCTTTTGGTCACTTAACAACAGAACACTCCCTATCAGTTAAAGTCATTCCAGCAGAGAAATGCCTCCCCCCAAATTCTCCAGCTCATTCAAGGGACACAGTAGCACTGGGACAAGGGCTGCGCTGCACCGCGGGGGCCGCCAGGCCGGTGGGGACGCCCCGTGGCAGCTGGGGGGCAGCCTGCGGACAGCGTTCCCCACCCTCCTCGCTGGGCACTGGACACCAGGGCCCACACGCCTCTATGCCCAGGCACGTGGCCACGTCACCCCTCCCTCCCTCCTCTCCAAGCAGAACAGAAAGCACAGGCCAGATGTCCTACCTGAAGGCAGGATCACAGCACTCAGTTTTACGAGGAAAAAGTCAAACAGTAACACAAAGACGCTCTATTCCCGACGACCTCCACATGCAGGATGGGAAGCCCTCGTGCCGCCCTCCCTGGGGGTGTGCTAAAAGCCTGCTCTTCACCCTCTCCCAAGCGTGCAATCGGCTAGAACCCTCGCCCCCCTGCTGTGCCAGCAGACCACACGGGGAGAAGAGGGGGTGTCTCTCCACCCACTCGGGAGCCGGCAAAGCTATGAGACCACACGGGAAAGCGCAAAGAACACCCTCGACGTGAGCACGCAGCGACGGGACAGACGCCGCTCTCTGCGAGCGGGGTGTCCACTCGGGCCGCGGAGCCGCAGGAAGCCTCAGGGGAAGGTGTGCACACAGCGCGGGGCCTCAACCACGGGGCAACGACAGCGGGACTTGCCTTTCATTTCGACCACGTCGACGGGCACCTGTTTTTCCCTCATTCGGAAAATTTCAAAATTTGTGACAACACCCTGTTAAAAAAAAGAGAGAAAGAAGAGATGATACTTTGAAAAATCAAAGTGTGAAGAGTTACAGCACGGGACCACGTCCAAGTTTGCTGGAAGGTTAAATGCATGCGTCTGGTGCAGACACGAACACCTGCAGTGATTAACACAACGCAATAGGACCTTCTCAAATGCTGACGGAGGTGGAAACTGGTACACTTTCCAGAGAGCACATGGACCCCACCCCCCCACCCAGATCCTGCTTCACGACCCGCCCTCATGGTCCGGGGTTACACACTGCAGCACAACTTCTGTCCTCGAGGCCTGCCAGTGGGGACGATCCAACCACTTCAAAACAGCTCAGACACACCCACGTGAAGAGCAGGGGCCCAGAGGGGAGACAACCCATGTGTCCATCAGCAGACAGACGCAGAGCGACCAGCCACACGGGGGCGTGAACGCGGAGCGGTCAGCCGCATGGGGGACACGTGCAGGCCACGACCCGCTCCGCAAAGGGCGCCAGGCACAGAAGGCCACGCACCGCGTGGCTCCATCGTACGAAACATCCACAGCAGGGAAATCCAGGGACAGGAGGCAAGGCAGCAGATCAGGGGGTGTGAGGAGCGGGGTGGCTATGAGTCTCTCTTGCGAGGGGTGGGCACACTCTGGAACTGAGCTAGTGGGGAAGCCCACACAGCCATGAATGTCCTGAAAGCCAGCAATGGCACACTTAAAACAATGCTTCCGTCAGGAGGAAAAAACCTGGCAGCTTTTGGTAAATTAAATATTAAGCGAAGCAAACAAAAAATGTGGGTGCAAAACGTGCCAAGCACTCCACTGTTTGTGCTTAAAGAGAAAACGTAAAGGAAAACAACATATCCACTTTGCCTCCTGCAGAGAAGGTGGGTGCCTGGCAATGTCCCTGCACACCCTTGACCTCCAGCCTGTGTGAGAGCGTCACCCCCCACCCAAGTCTTACAGAGAAAAACCACACCCCCAGCTAGGACAGGACAGCAGCTCTCGCTACGACATGCCAGCTGGGTCTGGAAACACGTCACAACATGAACCAAAGATCCATTAACACCCTAAACAGGATGGAGGCTGCAGAAGGAATGACCGCTGCCCGCCGGCATCCACTTACCTGGGTGCCTTTTGGTGTCCTGTCTACTTTCACACACAGGTAGTCTCCATTTTTCTGCCAGTGTAGCTTGCAATCCACCACGTTGAAGAGATTCCTGACTCTGATCTCCTGTCTGGTAGGAAGCTGCATCAGCGTCACCCTGGCTGGTATATCCTTATCTTCAGGCACCCAGAACGCTATTATGTTACCACCGGGAGACCAAGAAAAGTCTCTGCAGAACAAAGAAAATAAAGTGTTTATTACAACGACGGGCTACGTGAAGACAACTGGCAGGCGCAGAGAACAGAGAGCACTTCGTGTAAAGCTCTGCCCTGGCGCGCTCGCCCGCAGCGGCCGCCCCAGGGTGGACAGCCCCACCCACGGCCACGCGGGGGCCCCAGGCTCCGACACCCCACTCACACTTAACCACAAGGCAAATAAAGTAAATCTATGGCTGATGGACCCAGCTACGTGATTTCTGAAGATTCATGAAGGTGCTAAAGGGGGAAATCCTCAAATCAAAAAGCTTAAGAAAATTAAGCATTAGGGCAATTCTCTCTACTGTGGAGATTACTCTAAAAAGTGCTATAATGAACAAGCATGAATCCCTATCTGCGAAGAGTATCTTTACTTTTACATTTATTGGGAATTAATTCCTGGTTTTATTTCTAAATATAAGCCATCATTTTGCACAATGTCAATGTAAAAATAAAAACAAGAACCATGAGCGGCCTTGCCATGCTGGTTCTTCACTGCCCCCAGACTCCAGGAAAATATTACGTGTCTGCTCTCTGACAGAGAAAACCAGCCGCAGTTCACTGAGGCCAAGCAGACCCCACGGCAGGGACCACGAATGGCATAAGGACCTTCCAACTAAGTGGAGACCCCTCTCCTCAAAGACTGCACCCGAGTCTCTGTTCCAAGGCGGGGACACAGGAGGGGGCAGACCCTCAGGATGTCCCTGCGTGGGGGGGCGGCAGGGGGTGTGCATGGGCCACAGCCAGCGGCCCGGGGGTGGCCGCACGAGCCTGCTGTGACATCCCCGTGTTCGGAGTGACAGGCACCAGCACCTTCTCTAGCTGTGCAGGAGCCAAGTGCTCGAGGAGGGAGTCAGACAAAACCCAGGTGAAGGAGGCTTACTCACTTTATGCCGGAGATCTTCAGGCTCTTCTTGTCCAAAAGACCCATAGACTGTGGGGAAAACGAGGCTACAAATGAGTCAAATCCCACCACCGTCTCAAAGGTGCACACAGTTTTTCACAGCGTGAGCTCACTGAGGGAGCAGTGTGAGCAGAAGGTGACAGGTGAACCATGAAACAATTTGCCCACAGCAGCAAACACACGTTTCCTCAGCCCGTTCATTAACCCCCAGCCTGACCCCCCCAGAACAGAAGTGGGAGCTGGCAGGTCACAGACCCGAATCCAGGACACGAGGCACAGGGCCACCCTCTCCCCGTGGCCGCACCCCAAGCTAGGGGAAAGCACTGCACCCTCGAGCAGCTACCGAAGCCGACGAGCAGGACGGGGCAGGCGGTTTAGACACCCAGGTCACTTACAGGAGTTTCATAGATACTGAGAGTGTCAAGCGTCATCCTGGCGAAGAATTTACCATCATGGCTCCACCTAAGAAGAAACAGAAAAGAAGTGCCAGGCTCACCAATGAAAAAAAGGCCACAAAGGTCACCGCCGGCCACTGCAGGCCCACTTACTTGAAGATAGGCCAGTGGGCGGAGCTTTCACAGTGAAAACCCCTCTTTTTCTGCCCGGTAAGGATGTCCCAGACGATGATGGCCTGAGGGTCGTCCTGAGTGTCCATCAGGGGGCTAAAGGTCACCAGGTACCTGCAACAGAGGAGACACCCAGTCACCTCCCGCGCTCTCCCACCTCCTCTCAGTGAGGCGCACAGCTGTGCGTGCGGGTACTGGGAGGACCCGCGCCCAGGCCGCGGTAGCCAAGCCAGGCCTCTGCTCCCAGGCGGCTCCCAGCACAGGACAGCCGCCAGAGCAAACAGTTGAGACTCACGCAACTGGCACTGGCCCCCAAACCCCAGGCTCCTGACGAGGCTCCCGCCCGGAGACCCTGCCCGAAACACGGAGCAGGGCCGCCCGCATGAACCACCGGGTCACGCTCGGCACCAGGGCACTCCGAGAGCCACTTGAAGACGTTTCTGCTAAAACCAGGACAAGGAACGACCCAACAGATTCCAAACAAAAGTCTGCTGTGCGTGCTGGTGGGCGCAGCGTGGGATTCCCGCTCTTCCTTGCGGTTTAAGGAAGACGAGAAGAGAACCGAGGGCCACTGCAGCACGGGCAGGGGTCTGGCTCCAGGACCCCGCGGTGGACAGCACGGCCCTTAGGCAGGACGCCTTCCCACAGGCTTTACATGGCCTCTGGATCACCTGCAATGCCGAACACTGTGGAAATGCTGTGTAAATAGTTCTGAAAACAACGTGAAACTATGTAAATAGCTGCCACAACGCGGTAAATTCCAGCTTTTAAAACTATCTGAAAACTTTTTAGCTCCCTGCATCCTGCAGTTGGCTGAGTCCGCAGGTGCAGACCCAGGACACGACTGACTCGGAGCTGCTGGCCCGGGGCACCTCCCAGCCACTGTTCCCCCGAACGCCGGCTCATCTGCCCCACGGCACCGTCCCCTCTGCCGACAAAGTCTAACCACCCAAACCAGACAGCTCTTCCAGGAGAGTGGGAGCCACACGAGGCAGAAACAAGTACAGTGAGGGGGAGCGGGGAGCAGCCCCGCAAGGGGCTCCCGGGGCTGTGCCCTCCTGACTCCCCAGATTAACGGTGCTGGCTCGAGTCACCACCTCCCACAAGTTACTAAACTCCCCACTCGGGCCCAGGCCACACACCTGAAAAGGACTCAGAACAGGACCACCCTGGAACCACAGAAACTGATCAAGCTCACAGGAACAGACTGTTCAAGCTGTAACCTCTATGAGCAAAAGCACGCACTCACCACTCATCAGTTCACTCAACGTGGCTCACGTGGGAGCTACTGGGCAGAGCGCCAGGCCCCAGCGGTCCGGCCGTCCCCGCGTGGGCAGGCGGTGTGCCGACAGTCACAGCTTAACGTGGGAAGACCGGCAACGTAAAGCCATCTCTGGGGACGCAGAACTGCTGGGGGACTGAGGAAGGGCGGGAGGAGGAGAGGAGATGGAGGAAGCTTCCTGCCCCTGCACGTCACCTTGGCACAGAGACCAGCAGTCTGTGTGGACCCTGTTCTGACGCACCGCCGCTGCAGTGAGAGCCAGCGGGCGCTCTACACCAAGCACGTGCAGAGGGGCTGCAAACCAATGGGTACTCCACGGACACGGTGCATGAGAACGACTTTATCAAAGCTGAGAAGTGCCTTCAGGTAAAACCTGCCGTCTGCAGTAAGTGCGAGGCCCAGGGAGACAAGGGAAACAAGGTCCCGAGGAAGCAGTCAGACAAACCCAGGGGCCATCTGGTCCCACCCCCACAAGAAGCCAGTGTGAAAACAAGAAACAAAGAGAGGGTGTGCTGTTCAAGACACGGACTAAGCACACGTACACCCCGCTGGACCCAGGTACGAACAAGCCAGCCACAAGCGAGAGCTATCTGGGCACAAGTGGGGAAACCTGAGTATGTTTCAAAACCAGATGACACTGAGGAGCTTCTCCCAGCGTTGTCAGGTGCAATGAGAGACAGCGAAGACAGAGAACACCTTTGCTCCATAGCAGTGCAGACTTCGGTCAAGCTGTCTACATTTACTTCAGGACACTCGAAACAAGGTGAAGCAAATACAGCAAAAATCACTAAATCTGGATAGTGAGTATCGGATGTCCCCACAGGACGGAAGACCAGCCGCGGGCAGCACGGCGCCCAAGCTCCCATTCCACCCTCTCACGTGGAGCTTTGCTACACGGACTATCTCACACGTGAGAAACTCAGTCATGAGAAATTGGCCACAAAATACACGACCTTGGATGACACCCTGAACTGGAGGGGAAAAAAATTGTACAAAGCACATCACTGGATCAAGTGACAAAACTGGAACCTGGCAGTTTTTAAATAAAGTCTTAATGTTAAATTTCCTGATTAATAACTGCATCGTGGTTGTGCGAGAGAACGTCTGTCCCTGGGAAACGCACACCTGGGGTAAAGGGACACGATCCTTCAACCCCCTCCCAGACAGCTCAGGAACAAAGCCGCGTACACACACGTGCAGACGGGAAGTGAGGGAAACGAGAGAGCAAACACATGAACACAGTAACTGGAGAATCTCGATAAAAGGGTGCACGGGAATCCTCTGTACTCTTTCTGCCATGTTTCTATTATGTTTGAAATCACTGCAAAATAAACTTTTAAACAATTATGTGTTGAGGGCTGGCACGACTCCGTCGGCAGTTTTCTGACAGCTTACCTTTCACAAGGTGAGAAGTCAATAAGCTGAACTCCTTGGTGGCTGAATCTCTGAATCTGTTTGAATTTCTCTCCCCCCCAGAGAGCAATGCCTCGCTGATGAAAGGTTGCCAGGTAGGTGCCCTTAGGAGACCAACGCACGTACGTCTCTGTCCATCTCTGTGGAAAAGAGCACCAACGGTAACACAGAGGCCAAGTGCAAAGACTCCCATCACCCACGAGGACCCTCCTCCCCAAACTCTTAACTCTTAAAAACAAAGGCAGCCTGGTCGCTTCTCAGGGCTCGTTTCAACGCTTTTCTGAGAGATGTGATCTCAAAGGACAGGGCACATCCCCGCTGCCATGCAAGTCCCCCTGCGCTGCGGGAAGACAGGGTAGGACCCACCGCTCTCTCCTCAATGGAGACAGGGTCCTTCACGTCATTCCAGAATATGGAGGTGCGGTCCCCACTCTCAAAAATCACGCTGTACTGATCCCGGCACTCGGCCTCTTCAAGCCAGTAGCGGAGGTTTCCCTAGAAAAAGAACCAAAGGCAAGAGGTCTCACACATCTCATGAACTTTAACCGAAAAGCAGCTGCTCACAAGGACTGCGCTCAGAGACGAGCCCAACCCGCCAGCATCTCTAGCGCCTGAGGATCCACCACTTCAAGCCAGGCGGCAACACAGCGTTCCTTACGACCACTTACAGGCTGCATAGCAACATACCAGGTCTTTGAACGGCTGTTTCTCTGGAATATCCCACTCGTCACTGATCGTCATGTACCTGGAAGAGCAGGGACACACAAGGATGATCAGAACAAGGGGTGGGTGGCCAGAGTGCGACCGACACTGGCGGTTCTCAATCAGGCCGCACCGCACCACTCCCCTCCTCGGGGAAGAGCACAAGGCCTTGACTGTTCCTAACCAGTGGGAGGATGCTGGTGGGGAGGCGTGCTGCTGGCCAGGGGTGTGAGGGGCAGGGACCTGATGGGAGAATGCAGTCACCTGGAAGGCGACCAGCACCCCCCCACTGCCCCGCCCCGGGCAGAAGTGCCTGGCAGTTCACGTCCAGGACGACGTCCAGGTCCTCTGAACCAGGAAGGACTCACTTGTCAAAATCGGTAAAGAGGTTGACTCTGAACGTGTGCTGCTTGTCCAGCTTGTAGCCGTCCGCATTCTTCACAGCGTCCAAAGCGTGGGCAGGAGACGCGTATTCCAGGAAAATATACCTGAATCCATAAAGAGGGCAACTTGCAGGCGAGGCAGGTCACGCTCAGTGCACCCAGAACCCCCACAGGGCCCACATGCACCGTGGGCATCCGCACCTGTCTCACCACCACGCACCCACGGCGGTCTAACCCCTGGCAGAGCAGTTCTGAACATGAACGAAGTCCTACCAGCAGAGCCCAAGTCTAGCTCCATAGTCGGGAGCCACAGAGACGCTAACCAACCAGACGTTCCCCGCCCCGACCGCGCAGCAGTTCCACAGGTGCAGACAGCACCCACGCTTCTGACCTGCGCGCTTCAAACCCGCCCGAGTTGCTGTGCGGCACGCATCTTTCAACAAAGCTGCTTAAACAACAGAGTCTAACGTTGTGCATTACAGGCGAAGTCACACAGGCTCATCAGAACAACAGAGCCACAAGCAGCCGCTCACAAAGAGGCTCCCTTCCACCCTGGTCCTCAAATAGGAGCGTAGGGAGCACTACCTGCAGACGATAATTTTTTTTAAGAAACTGAAACTGAAACATTCTAGGCAGTTTCCAAAACCTGAAATTGAAAAAACAGAGTTTGTGCCGCCTTCTCATCCCTGTCCCACGGAAGACGGCTCTGCCTGTGTCAGGGGCGAGGCGTACGTGAAATTTTAGCGGACGAAGCCCGACAAGCCTACGCAGAAGCAGAGAACTTCCGTCACTGCTGGTCGGGTGTAAACTGGTAACGACCGGTGGGCATGATGCGGCCCCGCCGTGGACAGCACTCCCTGCAACCCCACGCCCCCAGTGCTCAGAGGGGGACAGGCGTGAGGCTGCTCACACCCGCTGTTCAAACCGCTACTGTTAATCGATAGGACAAACTGTCACACGATAGGACAGAACACCACAGCACTGACAAGGAAGGAACCAGAACTACATTTACCAACACGCACAACCTCACGCTGAATTCGAAGAGCAAACTGAGGCCACACACCTTAAACTACCATGTTTAAAAGATGCAGTATTTTAGGCAACACCACACAAAAAAATTGCTAAGCAATGACACAATGCTTCTCCCTGGACTGTAAGAAGGATCCCCATTTCAGAGATGTTAAAATGCAGGGGGGAAGCATATCTTACAATAAAAACAAAAATACCCTGTCAAATTTCCCTGACATCCCACCAACTTCCAGAGCGGTCGGCCACTTTCCCCAGGATGTACCTGGCATCAATCACTGTGCGATGACAGACGCGAAGCTATGACTGCTTAAGAGTCTAGCAGCACGAACTCAAGAACCACTTCCATTTCCTTTTCCCTCCGTCTGATGACCCCCAAGGACAAATCACTGCTGCGCAGAGCTGCCAGCTGGGGGCTGCCTGAATAAAGGAGCGAGGCCCCACTCACGCATTCACGGTGAGCTCCTCAACACGCGGCGACCCCCTCCCCCGGGTCTGACCCCCCGAAGAACACAGACGACACCGCAGTGCCGGAGAGCAGCACTCACCCTTTCGTCCTTCCGTCCTCCTCTGGGTAAAAATCATTTGTGATTTTCCCAAACTTGGAAAAGATCTTATGGATGACGTTTTTGAGTTTCTCCAGACGGTCAGGTCCCACCTGAGGAACGTTGTCGACCACGATCACCGAGTCGATTCCATCTGCCTCCTGGGGCCGGTCTTTGAGTATATCGCCCAGTAATTCTGCACAAGGGAAAGATTTGTCAAATGACTTTTTTTGATCATATAGAATGTTCATACACTAGCTTATTAGCACACTAAACAAATTTCCAAGAGGCAAAAAGTGAAGACTCTAAATGCTTTTGCTGTAAATGAAAGAAATCACAGCCCTGACTTGACTCAAAATTAAAACTTGCAAGAATTAGGAAGATTTTAACTGTTCACACTCCCTTTGACAATCAAGATATGTTGTCTGATTTCTGGCAATAATGGAATATTTTAAATGAACTTTTCAAAAAGGGCTTAATAATGAAAAATGCAAACAAAGACCATGGCCTCTCACCAGGAATCAGAAAAACCCAAAGTAGGGATGCCTGTGGCGAACCTTCTCTGACCCATCTCTACTACAAACTCACCACAGGCACTTTCTTCAGTTTATAACAAAACAAACTCATCCAACATTCTTTACGTAAAACAGTCTTGCTTGAAGACAGCACAGGACTGAGGCTGACACTTAAACTAGGCGACCAGCGAGTACAGAAGCTCACGAACGTGTGCAAATCACGATGCACCCTACACCTGACTGTCCCAATTCGATGGAGCAGCTCGCAGAGTCACTGGGAGACAGCAGCCATTTAGACACGACACTGTAAATGCTTAGGACGTGCTTGGAACACAGGGAGCAATGCCAACTATTATTTCCATAATTTTAAAAGTTCAAAATGTTTTAGGTTCATGTCACCTCCTCAAAACTAAAGTGCTCAAATTTCTTAGAACTGCTTCATTTCCATGAAAGGGTCAGCTAGAGTGAGAGAAAGAGGAGAGAAACACAAGAGGAATCAAGGCAAACGGGTCCGGGACGCCAGTGGGGTGCTGCCTGCGCCGTCTCACCTGAGGCCCATCCCCGGTCTCGAGTCCTGGACCACAAGGCTCCAGCACCAACACAAGTGCCCGACCGGCTGCTGGACTCGGAGGGCAAATGGAGCATCAGATGAAAAAAGCAAATCCTACCTTTCATTATAAGTTCTGTATAAATCCTAAGCACAATGAGTTAGCCACCTTGTCTAGAAAGCTGTAAAATTACAAGGTACTGTGTCAGGAGCCAGAACAGAAAGACATGTTTTAAAGCTGCCATCAAAGCACACTTGTCAGGTGAAACAACGTGGGTACAGAGTCTCCTCGACCCACGACAGGGTCACTTCTTGGTAAACTATTTACACAGCATCCTAATTCAAACCGTCGCAATCCGGGGACCATCTGTACGGTCAAATGGCAGCACAAGGTAATTTTTAAACAACAGCTGAAGAACGTGGCTTGTTACTCCTGTGTCTATGTGTTCCAAAACCTAATTATCACTGTGATTTCTGTGTTCCACCCTTTTAAGTATGTCAACATACTACATAGGACACATGTCTGAAAATATACTTTGTTGTATCTCATTTTCAAAAGTTACCATGAGTTTTCTCCACTTTTGTGTCAAAATGTTCCGTGTTAAAAACGTCTTTCAAAAAGAAAAAAAGCCCTTTAATTTCAAGAGGCAAGCCCTGATATAAACTCTCTCTAAATAACTTCAACACCTGGAACTATACTGAAAATGTCACTTCATGTAAAAGAACTGCTGCTTAAATTTCAATGAAGCTAAAGCTGAGACCAAACAAAGAGGGAAGAAGGAACGACGCAGATCAGAGTCACAGCATCTTCCTGCAGACTGGAGTCAAATCCTTGGGTTACTTTTAAAGCTGACTTACCATGCAATTACATGGCCTGTTAAGCCTGATCTGAATTTACAAGGTTTGCAATAAAAAGCTAACTTTTACACAAACTGTCGACTCCTTCCCACAGTCTTGAGGCGCCTGGTTTGTGAGAACCCACCCATACACAGCAAGGGGATAAACTTAAGTGCACGATGAAGAAACAGTCCCTTCGCTGCCAGCAGCCCACGCATCTGGTTACTCTTGGCTCACAGATTCCCAGTCTGACTCCAGGAGAAATGGAAGCAATTCTCAAGACTAAGTAGCAAAGGAGACACAAGCTAAAATCTTTATCGGATATTTGCTCGGCCGAGCACCAGAGGCAGCAGGAAAGTTAAACTGAAGAGATGACTGTGATGACGATGCAACTGTGCAACAGCTCATCTGTCTCAAAGGGGAAGGAGGCAAGACAAAGGTACCTAGGAGAGGGCTCGCCGGGAGGCTCGTCCATTTTCAGAAGAATCCGTACCTTGTGCATCACTCTGACCCTACAGGGCAGTTCTCATGAAACACAAAACGTATGTGAGCTACTGACCATAACCAACTGGTCTCAAGAAAACTGACTACTTGCTCAGTTTTAGTTCCTTAAGGCCAGAAGCCTCACAGATCAATCTGGCAAAACAGGAGGATCACCACGGCTCCCAGAGGCCCACCCGGCAGCCCCTAGCCAGGCTGGCCCGGGCTCACGTCAGCACCCTCCGTCACACACTGAAATTCAAGGGCTAGAAATCGTATAAATTAGGTGTGCTCAAATAATGCTTAAAAAAAAAAACCCTAGGGCTCAAAATGGGCTTTAAAATCAAAACTTAGATTTTAAAATGCAAGAAAAACTGGTGTGGTAAAAAAGAACACTGGACAGGCTGGGCGCAGGGGCAGCAACCCGCTCCACAAGAGCACAGTTCCTTGTGAGGGACAGGCTTCGACTGGGCCAGCGGCTCCCAAGACCTCACTAGCCGAAATAAAGTATAAGACAACAGTGACAGTAACAGGCAGTCCTTGAAAATTACGTTTCAAATAAATCATAGCATCATGCGGTGCACTCCAAACTCCTACCATGCTGGGTGTCAATTCTATCTTACTACAACTGGAAAGAAAAACATAAGGGCATTTGGCAGAAAGTTTAAAGTAAGCAAAGTTATGCTTCAAAGTCAACAACGCTATGTCGGTTCTTTAAACTTTCTTTTCAAATTTACGTGAGATTCTTTATGATTCTCGCTCAATCTCAGGGTGACCAGACACATCTCAAAAGAAATCTTTCTACTTTAACATGGTAACATCTTATTTTCCTGGCGTTTCATTGGCTACTTCAGTGGTGTTTTATTCACTTTTCCGTTTTATTCTGTAACGTGGTCAATATGCAGAGGAATCCATCGATATGTTCCCAGCCTGGAGAGTTAAAATGGCTAAAAACGAAACGTAAACGAAGATGAATCAGACCAGCCATCATCAGAAGTCGTCTTGGGACAGAAAACAGAAATAATGCCTGTAAATGGAACCAAGGCAGAAAAGGAAGATAAAGGAAGCTATAGTCAGTGCTACGACCTGAGAAGACTACTTGCCAACAGAAAGGCGGTGCTCTGCCTACAGACCTAGGAAAAAAGGCGCAACAGGAATCTGGCAGAGTCCGCCAGGCACTGTCCCACCGAGGACCTCTCCGGAACAGGCGCGCCCGCGGAGGCAGCAGAGGCAAATGGACCCAGCTTTGCCACCCTGTTCTTCCCACTCCCGAGGGTCAGCGTCCATCCACCCCTAAGGAGTCGGCACCGAGTCGGTTTCGGCCCTTCGATAGGTCTGTCTGGTCACTCGGGGCACCAGACCGCACGCGGCGAACTGTCACCCGAGTCCGCGCAGCACGTGCAGTGTCCTGCTTGGCTGGACCGCAACGGCCACACAGCTGCACATTCGGCCCCGGCTCCTGCGAGCAGGCCGGCGGCCTTCCCCACCCTCCAAACTCCCGGCGGCAGGGCCAGTGGCCGGCTGCCCACGTTGTCTCCACCACCCCTCCTTTTTCGGAAGAAAGACGGAGATCCGGGCGTTCACGAACAGCCTTCCCCGCGTGCGGGGCGACAAGCGGAGGACCGGGGAC